GATAAAAATATACGCTCATTTTAGTAAAACAATTATCACAACTTTAAATTGAGTATTTCAACTATTTTTTAAACAGTACAAACCTTTCAGATGGCAAAAAAACAATATATAACCACAAAACAAAAATGTAACAAAATATATTTATCTTTTATCTATTTTGACAAACGTTTTTTTTAACAGCAGCACACTTGTGCTGCGTCAGTATTTAAAAGTTATATTTAATATATTTTATCTAAAAAGTTTACATAAAATACTACAATTTTCTAGGGCTAAAAAGTGTTGCTAAATACATCTAAACATATTTTTCAGAGATATAAGGAATACAAGTCGTACGCAGCAATACAATAAATTATATGATCTTTTACAACACACAGTGTTATGATTATATGCATTTCAATGAGACTCCCATATATGCATCTGAGTGATCTCCAACTGAGAAAAACTCTTTCAAAATGTGTGGCATAATTACTAGAAATAGACCTAATCAGAGCATACATTAATGGTCATAAATGCCAGAAGCGTGTCCTTAAAGTTATCAACAATGCAATTATCCACTATAATCCCTGCACTAATCCACCTATACCTATAGGTATACCCTGCTTGGACCCCAGCAGATAAGATTAATCTCATGGTAGGAATTTGAGAACTGGCCAAACAATAAACAAAAAAATACAGTCAGAGAGAAAATCATTAATTGGGGAACAATCAAGGATGTCTACACAAGGTCAAAAAAGATCATTGGGCATTGAGCTACAGACTTGATTAATAACTTGATACACAATTAGATCACAAACTCGTAAAACATGCCATCACACATGGGTAATGCGAAGCCATCGGGAAACTATATTCACTGGTGATCCACTCGATTACGCTGGTTACCGAAACGGTTTGTTTTGGTAACAAAATGTCGGAACATCTAATGTAACATTTTTCTTTTTTCCTTATTTCACACGTTGTAGGCAGAATTCCCACGAAGCCTTCGGGAAACTATATTCACTGGTGATCCACTCGATTACGCTGGTTACCGAAACGGTTCGTTTTGGTAACAAAATGTCGGAACATCTAATGTAACATTTTTCTTTTTTTTCCTATATCACGCGTTGTGTTTTTTCTCACAAACGTGTATTAGTATCATATGTTTAAGAAAATGTACATATTTGCGAACAAATAGTTCAGAAGACAACAGAATCGTCGATTTAATTCCTAACTTAAGTTACATAAACGGTTTTCGAAAACGGTTAAGATCTGCACTTTTAACCGCAAACATGTGCATTTTCTAAAGGAAAAAAAGAAAATCGTAGCTTCGACATTCTGACATTTTGTTACCAAAACGAACCGTTTCAGTAACCAGCGTAATCGAGCGGACCACCAGTGTATATTACTCTTCCCCAACTAGTTACTGCACGTAACATTAGTGACTTCACTGTACCCAAGTCGTCGAGTCTAGTTTGTATAACTTCGGGAAAGTTGTTTTCAGGTTGCCAAAGTCTAGACTCTGTAGTGATTCAAGTTAAGTTTGGATTCAAGAGAGACTCACGAAAAAAGTCCATGATTAACACTATGTTTTCAAATCATTATCTTGACGTTCATTATACCTAATATAACAATATTTACCTTTCCAGGTGACACCCCTTAGTTAATTGGCCGGGAGATTAACATACATGTTTTTAAAATAAACTTGTACGCGAACGTGTAGAACTATAGTCTTGTTACTGTCAGGGTTAGTTCTATTTGTACTGCTCACATGGTTGATTAAGTATAAAGGTATCCCGAAAAGAAATTGGGTCCCTGCAAAAGTGAATTGTGAGCAGGACAGTGATTCCGGGGGTAGAAAAATAACATTACATTATACAGTAAATTGTGATTCATCTTACCCATAAGATTCTTTTTTGTGATTTTTACCTCGACAGTGCGATTTTACCGGATCGTGCGGATTTTGCAGGAGAGTGATGTTTGATTCCTACCTGTGTATATATAGTTTTCAAAAGAACACCATTCGCCACATTGTACAATAGGATGCTTGCGTGTTGATTAAATAGATCAATTTTGTGGCATATCTAGGTAGGCCCATACCCGAAATTTATAGCTCTGGCTCCACAGTTGGCGATGAAAAATATACATTGTATATGGTGCATTCTAAGCACTTCAAACGTAATGTGTTTAATGTTTCTTTTCAACAAATTATACGAAATTGCTTTTTATGGGGTGGGGGGGCGAGTGCCATCGCAACGTACCTAACACGAGATGGATATACTAAGAAGTCTCGTATCCTACTACATAGGGTCCGTGTTACGACGTTTACGGAGCCAAGTAGAACTAGATGTGAACTAGTTTGAACTGTCTACGGACGGGCTTGAATTGCTTAAAAGGTTGTCCACATAAAGTGGAGACGTTTTATGAACGTACTATCATAAAACTGTGGTCACACAAATTTAGTTCATGCTACTTTCTTGAAAAACGGAATGGACATACTGAGAACTTTTTAAGGTCTTTTTAACCCCACTATCAAACTAAACTAGTTCTCAACCGTTCTTTCCAGTCTTACAAAAAGTCGAAAAACAGGCTTAATCTGACTGTCTAATATAATTAGCTGCTTCGTTCATAAACAGTCCTTAATACGTCCATCTCATTCGCAGTTCGTTCAGGTCGCACCAAGTCGGTATGTCCAGGTACTGCAACTAACCCTACTATCACACCAAACTAGTTTTCACTACGTTCTCGAAAACGGGCTTCAACTGTGTACGAACGGACTGGACGTACTTCGAACCGTTTGGGGTATATTTACAAACGTCATCGAACGTACTCGAACGGGTAGGTCCTCTAGAACTTAGAACATGCTCAAAATATCCTCGTGGTCGATACGTTCTACAATTTGAACGAGTGACAACGTACTAACGACGAGCTGGACGTAGTACGAACGGAACCGTCTTACATCAATCCTACTAGGGACGTTTTAACAACGAGTTGAACTGTCTGAAGACGTACTAGTATTGAGAACGAGGTTGAACTAATTGCAAACAGGTTTAAACTGATTATGAACGTATTTAAGACTGCTTATGAACGAGTTAGCAAAAATATGGCTATCACACCAAACAAGTTGCCACTGCGTTCTTCAAAACTGGTTTTCAACTGTGTACGAACGGAATGAACGTAACTGCAACTTTCTAAGGTCTTTTTACGAACTTGATGAACGTTCTCAGACGGGAAGGTGATTTTAGAATTTTGAATCGATTCAAAATTCGATGGCGACCATACCGTTCTGTAATCAGGTCATGATGACCTTCTAGACTAAGGGACGCGTTTTACGACGTTGCACACCGATGTTGTGCGACCTGAACGAACTGCGAATGAGATGGACGTATTGAAGACTGTTTATGAACGAAGTAGCTAATTATTTTAGACATATTTCCCGATCACAGCCAGATTGAGCCCGTTTTACGACGTTTTCGTAGGACTGGCAAGAACCGGTAAGAACTAGTTTGGTGTGATATGGGGGTTATATCCGATTTCACAACATCGTTGACGCATCCCTATTCCCTAGCTAGTAGGGTCGAAGTACGGCAATAACGTTCCCAGTCTAGTAGGTCATCTCGTTTGAAGGACGTTGTCATAGGATCTAACTATTGAACGGTATTGTCGCCATCGAATTTTGAATTGATTCAAAATTCTAAATCATCTTTCCGTCCGAGCACGTCCATTAAGTTCGTAAGTAGACCGTAGCAAGTTGCATCTACGTTCATTCCGTTCGCAGATAGTTTAAAACCAGTTTGGAAACATTATGAATAACACAGTGGCAACTAGTTTGGTATGAGAGCTATAGTTTTGCTAACTCGTTCATAAGCAGTCTTTAATACGTCCTTAATCAGTTTAAACCCGTTGGTAATTAGTTAGGGGGGTTAGGGTTTTATTGACGTACTTGAACCGGAAGGTAAATCAGAACTTCAAGCCTTTTCAAAACTCGTCATGACGTTGATTCCTTTTAAAGTCGACCGGATTGCGTCATTATTTGTTATTCCGCGCAGATACGTTCAAAACATAATAAATAGGTCTGAAGGACGCGACAACATAATTTTTAGACGTTAGATAGGTTCGTATATTGAAAACGAACTAGCATCATATTTTAGAACATTTCTCCTCGACCACATTCCGTATTTCGATTTTTCAGGACAACTAACTATTTTTGTGTGACTAGGGGAAACACGTGTATTGTAGTAAATAAAAAAACTTACTAAGAAAGGATGGGATTAGTTAATTATTTGAATGGTTGTAAAACACACTTAGGGCTTATTACATTCTCTATGGGAGAGATGCACTCCCCTTTACTAAATTGAGATTAACAATGCTATCCACGTTATAAGGCAATACTTAGCAGCTATTAAACTAAATGTGCAGTTAACAGGCATGGTTTGAAGTCGTATTACGTTGTAATTTTAGAGTACCAATAGAACTATGTCGTCGATATAGTAGAAAATGTGTCAGAAACAATTTCTATGTTGAAATCAGAAGGCCTCTAGCTGAATCTCACATGAAGTCCAAGAAAAAACGAAGTTAACGAAATCAGTTGAATAAATAGCACTAATACTAGTAATGCCGAAAGAAATATAATGACAGGCACTGCACATGAACATGTGGCATGAGAACACTAAATGTTATTGAATGATTTTGTAACAGTATTTGAAAGAATATTAGGTCACTACTTTTGGTGGTGACATAAAACGAATAAACAAAATACCTCTCTATCCAATACTATTTTACATTAATTAACAATAATTAACCACAGATGAATATAATGAACCTTGTTGACGAATAAAATCACTATCTTCCACATATTTTATATATTATGGGTATTCATGTGATTTCTGAATTAAACATTGCTCATCACTTTTTAGAACAGAACTTGATTTGAGCAAACAAGATTGTAAATATTAAAATCATGTTATATGAGGTACTTTACCAGGGGAAGATATAACTGTATAACGAATACATGCAAGAATACATACCTCTCTACACTGACTGCAGTAAGGTTGAGGATGGATGCAACGGCTGATAACATTTCACAGAAGCCAGATATCTTACAGAGTGCCATTCCTCCTGACCAATGTCCCAAGAAATATCTCGAGGTTTCATAAGGCACACATATAAGTAAGAAGAGGAGGTCAGACACCGCTAAACTGACCAGAAATAGTGTGGTTACACTTCTTGCCTTTTTGTCGCCCAACATGGCAAACACGACAAGTAAATTGCCAATAATGCCAATGATAAACGCAATGCTGTAGATAACAATTGTAAGAATGAAACGATCTTTTTCTCGTAGATATTGGGGTTTTTGAAGTTCGTCTATGTTCTGGTAATAATAGTATCCATATTCATCTATAGGTGGATTGCTCATGTTTGTAACGTTGTTCACATCAATTGTATCTTCGTCGATTGATTCCATTGTGTTTGCTAATTTTGTAATATCCTGGAATGTCTCGCTAATTGCTTATAAATTGTTATAATACTCCATACATTTGTGTTATACTTTGTACAGCTGATTAATGTTTAGAAGCGAGAAACTGTTGCTTTAGATACACGTACCTTATTATGTATAATTCAGCCAGTATTCCCAAGGTGTATCGTCTTATATAATTGCGTAAAGTTTCCTACAAGAAAAATAAAAATTCATTATTTTAACTTTCTCATATTATTACAGTCAGTATATGTTGTTTGAATCTAATTCGAATTGTTAGTAAGTGCTTTTCATGTGTTATATTCAGATTCCCATTACTGAAATGTTGTTAGATTTCCTTTAATATTACAATTGATCAATGAAGATTGTGGGAAAACAGCTAGAATCTAATCAAGAAAGATCCATTTACAATATTCCCATTAAAACATTAGCAATTCTTGGAAGACAGTTCTTTTTATTGTCAACAGCAACATCAATGTTTCTAACGTACTAAATGGTAAATGTATTAAGGGAGGTAATTTGACATAGACGTAAAATGAAATCTCATGTAAGAACTTTTATCCCTTATTACTATTCATACAACTTAACTATTTTTACAAAACGTGAACTGTCTTGTTAAGATCAAGATCGATGTAGGAAAAAGTGGATTAACGATTTTGCTATTTGAAGAAATAACAGGTCCGTTCTGGAACCTCCTTGTGTAAAATCGCCCAAATCTCTTAGAAATGTTACTATGTTGTAAAATTTGGGAATCCCGTGTTTATTATTTGAGTAGTTTCTGTATTGCTTAATAAAGAATCTTATCTACCCAATTTAATTGAAAAACTAACATGATTATGGCTTTTTGACTGAAAACATGATTTCTCTAAATATTGAAGTCGTACCTTTTATGTTTATACACTGTTACTTCGCTTATGGAAAACTCTATCTAAAAATTCAAGACAAATGTTGAAATCATTTCCGAAATAGGGGGTTGCATTTTTGTGTCACAGTGTGATGTTAATTTTTAGTTTATAACTCTGCAAAAACATATAATCATTATCCAGCTTTTTGAAAGAGCAAGCTGACAGCTCGTAGGAGGATCATGGTTCGAACTACTGTAAAAATAGACATTTTCATGCGTGAGATGTTCACATTTTTACGGGAACACAATTACTCGATCAGTCATTGCTTGCTCAATTTACCTGTGGTGAACGACATTTACCATAAAACACTGCTTTGTTTCGTGGCGGATTTTTCAACAATTTTTTACAATAGCCTGATCTATTTTTCACATTTAAAGAGAGAGTCATGCAACTTCATGTCAAATATTTGCCTGGAGATTCCAAAAGACATGACAGATTTCAGAGAATAGCATAAACTGTTGGAATGAGTAAGTGCTTAAAGTAAAAGTAGTAACAATGACTACCATTAGGCATTCGGTCTACATATTCTCCAGTGGGAATATGATCTACACCGTTTAGATCTAAATTCGGTTGTATGTTTTATATCGCAAATGTAAAGTACTGTCATGTTTTTTCGTCAAAATGACTATTACCTACTAGATATTCACCAAGCTATTAAAAATATCCTTACTTTATCATGATCAGATGACGCCTCATTCATCACTATTAATATAACACCATGATCATAATGATTATCAGATAGTGCATCGGTCTTACTATTCATCCATTAAGGAAACACTACTCTAATTAGATTTGAACACTTATCAACGATACCCGTCAATCCTATTTCTCAGTAAAACCATATTACCAAAACAACTTACCTACATTATACCAACTGTTTAGAAAGGAAAGTTCACGTTCAGAATATGTGTTAAGGCGTTTCATATCATGCTGCTCTCGTTCTTCAAAGGACCAAACCTTTTGAAATTACTTTATAATATGGGATTTATTGAAAGTATTTCCATGCTCTGTTATTTTCACGTTAGATTCAAGATTAACATTTCAATCCTTTCGAATCGAAGTTATTTTCTAATTTACCTTTTCAATTCACCAAACAGCACGTATTCAAAAATGTACGATTACACTTATCGATTGCAATGAAATCAAGAATAATAGAAATGCCCAGAATTGTATAGAGCTTCTATTTTTAGAGAACAGCTTTTACAACTATTTAATCAATGGTCGAAAACAGGTGAGTAATTAAAGAAACAATTATTAGTTTTATTTGATATGATATATTACTACTTAAGTGGCCTCAAGGACTGTCAATAAATGGCACAGAACTCAATGGATTTAATCGTATACTTAAATCTGTGAAAATTGCTTCAAAAATCTCCAAACATAAAATTCATTGAAAATATTCAAAACCTTAACCTACATAATAAATAATTAGTAAATAATTCCGAAGAGAAAATGTGATATGAATTTGATTTATGAAGTGTTTTTGAAGTTTGACTAAGTCATATTTAGGACTGGTAGGACTGGTGTGAAAAAACAACTAGAGCAAAGAATTTAACTGCCATCTAAACCCATTATGGGTCCTGGCTCCCATCGTGTCAAACTATAGAAAAAGAGTAAACCAAATAACATGTACCAACATATGTCAAGGTAAAAAACTTCATCATCACAATCATATATGCCATAAACCCCTAGTATATGGCATAATTTGAATATTGATGACGATGGGAATATTGATGGATATATTTGATAGTAAATACTATTCCCAATTGAGCCAGATGTATTAATACGCTGTACTTAGAAATGTTGTTCTGAAAATCTTATAAGTCATATCTCTAAATAGTGAGAATACGCAAAAACGATTCAATCTATACGTTGTCTTCGATGGCCAAAGCAAACTATTTGCAGTTGGTCGGGTTTCAAAAATAAGTAGACATGACAGATATTTCTAAATATAATGAGTTGTCAATTAAACGAGGAAAATGAGTCCTTATTTATATAGCACTGGGAATAAATCCTGATATGTGCTAGTGAAAATCTCATAGTTTAAATAATTGATGACGATGGCAATAAAGATGGATAGATTTGATGATAACTGTTATTCCCATTTGACCTAACATTTACGCAGTGAATACTTAATAGCGTTTTAAAGATTTAGGTCATTAATTGTACTGTTATTACGAATTGTCCAAATAATAGCGATGGCAACCCATTCATTTTTGTAAATGTGAAATGAACTGTTGCTGATAAAGCCTAGCCATGGGACATATTCTTTAAATACTTGTTTCTTGGATGCTTCGAAATACCCTGAAGACCTTTTTATACAGTAAGTGGAGGTCATATCCACTGCACTTTGATCAATAAAGATTGATACTAAATTTCCCTAATGAATATAATTTAAATATACATGTCATCATTTAGATTATATATGTAACAGATTGATTGAAGGTGGAGGCCAAGAAATAAATCAAAGATGACAGAAAAAACAGATTACGAACTCCTTTAACAATGATAACTATGAACACTGGTTACATCTGAAAACTTCGATTTATTGCGACTAACAAAATATGTAGTATTAATAGTTCAGCTTTATTTCGATGTACAGGGTGTCCAAAAAAAACAGGACCGTAAGAAAGTTGAATAACTCGGTCAATTTTGCATATTTTGCCTTGAAATTTCAGAATTATTTAGTACATTCAATGTGAATTTTGTTCTGAAAGTTTGATAATAATCTATTAGTTGAGTCAAAAACTACAGTACTTTACAAAACATGCTCAAAGTGGGCACTTCTCCTCTCTATGCACAAACGAATCCTGCAAACAAAGTTGTTAATGACCCTTACCTACACACATTAATGTGGATGGTAAATATTGGGGTAGTTAATGCCCTCTTAAGATTGTTAGGGGCCTGTCAGTATACAAATTGACTTTGAGAAATCTTCAAAGATAAAAATTTGGGGGATTTAGATCAGGCGAATGAGCTGCCCATATGGTTTTCGTTCTGCAACTGATGATCTGACCACCAAAGCATTGCCTAAACCATTTCAGCATATCATTTGCAGTGTTGGGGTGGTATTGGCTTGTTGAAACCACTGCTTAATTATCTCCTTAGATGTCCCTTCTGGTGCTTAGTGACCTCTAAAACTTGATGAGGACTTACTGGTCCTTGTTCATGGTGATAGCAAGTCCCCAGTCACTTTCGAACCAAAAGGGACTAATGATTCCATGTTTCCTCATTGCCACCCAGGGAGTACATTGTTCAGAATGCAATGGATGCTGTAACACTTCATCAGGAGGATGTAAGCCCCAGTAACAATTGTTCTTGGAACAAACTTGTCCATTCAGAAAGTTGTGTGTGTAGGAGGATCATCAACAGCTTTGTTCGCCGGATTGAATTGTGCATGGAGATGAGAGGTGCACATTTGGGGCATGTTTTGTAAGGAGCTGTAGTTTTTGACTCAATTAGTAGATTATTATCAAACTTTCACAACAAAATTCACATTGAATGAACTAAATAATTCTGAAATTTCAAGGCAAAATATGCAAAATTGATCGAGTTAATCAACTTTCTTACGGTCCTGTTTTTTTTTGGACACCCTGTATTCGCATATATTTAAGGCAGAATTTGAGATAAAGGGGATGACAAAATTGCAAATAATATGTATAATTGACCTTCAAATAATTACCATCACAAATACAAGCGCCTTCTGAATCAACCGCTGAAGTTATTCACGATTCAAAGAACAAAAGTTGGATAAATTCTCCCAAATATAAAACCTTATAGATACTCGATTACCTTTGCTTTTCATGTAATACATATCAATATTTAGAAAACAAGTACGACAAAGAATAATACATGTAATATTATCCCAGAATTCTCTAAATTATTGAACATTTTGGAAAAGAGTGATCGTTAAAGCCTCATTCTCTTCTATGTGTATATATTGTTAACTAATAGGCCATCTAAATCATTGTGGCCAATAACAAATCATGCTAAAACACAATAAATCACTTACAAGCTTGTGTAATATTAGACAAATGAGTATACCATAAAGACCTCAAATGGTATATGTCACAAACTAAATGCCAACATTAAAACTAAAATAGCTTGAAGGAGTCTCAGCTGATGATCCAGGACATACTATATTTTTTAATGGGAAAATAATTAAGTTAATAAAGACCAAGATTGTATGATATACTGCGCAATATATGCCTACTGATTTTTCTGATCAGTGTTAAAATACCGAGATGCAATGAGAGCGAGGCTGAGGAAGAATTCATTCTGATATAATAACTATTTATGGTAAATATGGTAAACTCATTTGTAATTTAATGTCATCATCAAAGTCGCTAACTTTGATGTATGTATATCTTAAATTCAATTAATTCCATATATTGTAGTTACTTATCATATCACTATGGAACAAAATATGAGTACATTTATAAACAAGACAACAAAAATACTCGTTATGTTTTCGCTTAACCATTATATGTCTGCAACCTTTTTTATAACATCTTTTATAACTTTTTATAAGTCGCAAGGGGGACCCCCTCGTGAATTTCTATTACTTGAATTGAACTGATTGAAATAATGTTGGTATTGTTGTAAACCTTATTCAATAAACTCTTCAGAGATGTATTGGTTTTCCCAAAAATGGATCAACGAAGGTCAAATCAAAGTCAACGTTACCTAGGGAGTGAATTGTTTAGCCTTTTGTGATTTTTTTTAAAGAATTGTTGTTGCCAACACTGCTTTATTTCCGAAAAGAACAATTTATTATCTTTCAAATAAATCAAAAATCAAGGTAAAAGCTTTTCTAGAACTGAACTCATGCACCTTCAAAGATAGCAGGTATCGCGAAAACACATTGAAATCAATGGGACGTGTAATTTAATAATCAACAATTTCAAGTTCAAGTTGTTTTTAGCTCACTTGGTGAGCTTTTGCAGTGGCACGTTTTAAAACCTCCGTCGATAGGATTCCTGTTTTAAGTTATTTTTGTTCAACATCAATACAAAAAACTCTCCTATGACTCCTGGTTCAAAAGCTCGCCTAATTTCAAAATGGTCGCCATTCTTGTCTCACGAAATTCACTTATTTTTGTTTAACATCAATACTAAAAACTCCCCTATGACTGGTTCAAAAGCTTGTCTTTTTTTCAAAATGGTCGCCATTTTTGTCTCACGAAATACACTTTTGGCCCATTTCCTAGCTTTACGTCCTGCATTGTAAAAACCATGTCACTGTAAAGAGTAGTTGTATGAAATAATTTTGTTACAAATAATTGGCAAAAAATTATATCAGTTTTTTTTATTTTCTGTCATTTTAGCCATCATTCACTTTTGAGCAACACCATGTGAGCCCAGTACCCACGGCACTATTTTTTGTCTTTAGCATCAATATTTCACAAGTTGTTCAGTGATCAAATAAGATAGCCGATAACTGCTTGACTTGGAATACTACAATTTCGGTCCAGATCGAATTGGTGAAATTGAAAAAATGGGATAGGGGAAAATTATAGCTAACATTTGGAGAAAGTTATCATCAAAATTCTAATACTAACGTTTGTATAAACATTCAGGAACATGCGAAAAAATAAGAGGCATTAACCGCATTTAATCTTTAAAATTCCATAAGATAGTCACTAGTGGCTCGATTGTAATAAAATAAAGCATGTTGGAAAGTGAATTCAATGTGCTTATG